GAGTAAGAAATAAAAATAAATTTTAAAAAAAAAGAAGTGTGAGAGCAACCATGAAGAGATATTGAAATAGGTAACTGCAGAGAAAAAAGGGACATGAAAGAAAGGAAAGGAGAAGGGACAAGAAAAGAGAGATGAGGAAAAAAAGACTTTTTCCTTTTCCACCAGGAAGAATGGTGGAAGAGAAACAGAGAGATAACAGTAGGGAAGATACTTCTTGACACTTCAGCTGTTTTATTAGTGAACCATTAAACCAATAATTTCTCTTCCTACTTGAACCTTCTTAAAACTTCTTCATGGTAGTGGTGATCTGACTATGCCCACCTTTCACCTGCTTTCCTAATTCTGAAGGACACACGAGACACCTGTTTCACGGATGCCAAGCCTCAGGTCTTATCTGCCAGTAGCAGCAGTCACCAAAGACAAGGGGGCTTGAACAGTCAGTTCTGCTCCTGACTAGGTTTCAATACTATATTCATCACTTGGGCGCTGCTACCAGCGCACCTTCCAGGAATGGGGTCAACAGATGTGACTGATACCTGCTACATGTTGTCCTTTCCTTCTCTCTCTGCAGGGAGAAAAAGCAAAAGGCAGGAACCTGAGGTGCTCACCTTGGCAGGACGTACTGCAGCCACCACATACCTAAAGCAGCACCATGCAGCTGAGCTGAGCTACCCAGAAAGGTATTTACACAGCCTTACCCAACATGCAACCACTGATGCCTGTGACACCTAAACTCACATCCGACTGATTAAGTGCTCCTCAATCTTCATTTTTGAAGCAGCAGGAAATGCAAGAAGGAAACAACAGCAGAATTGCTGAGAAGTAAATGAGTTTTTCTTACACTTCAACTACTCTGAGATTAGATTCTTGCTTTGAGGTACAGGCCGACGGATGCACGTGAACTAAGCTGGGCACTCACACTGCTTTGCTGGTTTGTGCATGTGTCCAAAGAAGAGAGAAAGAAGGAAAAGAGGCTCTGGATATGTAAGAGGCCCTGCCCCTCCTTCACAGAGACTACACTCTCAGCCTGAGGCTCTGTGGCAATTAATAAAGGGGATAATGTTTTCATGCTCTGCAAGTCCTATGGGAGAAAGGAGGGCTTCTTCCCATAAACAAACCCACAGCCTACAGAGTGTTGCTTTTAAGAAAAAGATACGGGTTAAAAAACATAAATGAAAGAAAGGTAACAGGGTGGTGTGTCTTCAAAAAGGAGAAAACATTTCTAATTTTCTTTATCCTACAGCAGGAGCTATATGACAGCTCGGAGGACAGCTGTCCTATTCCTTTGCGTTCACGAGGAGTTGTCCCTCACTCTGCCATCAGACCTTACTGTATGCAGGTGTCAGGTTTACACAGTGGCTCAGCTGTAAACAAAGCCCGTCCTAGCTGAGCTGCATAACCTAGGGAGGTCATCCCCAACGACACCTTGACTTCTTCATCCATGCTTCCTGCCCGGCTCTGACACAAGTGGGCCCACAGTAGCCAGGAGGGGTAGGAGATGTCAGATGGGCACTGCGGTCTGTGTGTGACTGGCAAAGCTTTCTAAATTAAAAAGACTGCCTTGGTACGTCACTGCAACTTCCCACCAACAAATGCCAAATCAGAGGAGACAGATTCCCTCAGACACTGAATGCTGCAGGGGCCTCTTGATCTATGGACACATTCCTTGTATTTTAAAATCTTCATGCTTGGCCACTATTTCATGCTTTCTTGGCTGATGGAGCCAAAGCTGAGGTTAGCCAGGGAGAGCTATTTACACTATGCCAACTATTGATATTTACCTCTTCTTGTTCTGTAGGTGCCAGAGGACATAAATAGCTCTCCTTGACTGACCTTAAAGACAAGGTGCCAGCCACAGAAGAGTGAAATGCTATGGCTGCCTTAAACTTCCTTCCTGACTCATGTTTAGTTATTAGGAGGAAACACCGTTACTGAGTTAGGGAACTCATTGACCATGGTCACTCCCATTTTGAATGTCATTCACTTGGCATTTCATCAGCAGAATCAAGCACTGCTCTGCAGCATGGGTGAGCAGGCAGGCATCCTTCCATGGCTGGATTGAGGATATTTCCATACTAAAAATCCCATAGTTGTGGATCCTAAGGGACTCACAAGACTTAAAATTATTAACATTATTAAGATTATCAAGACTGAAATATTATTTCAGGCTGTGGTTCTGATAACACTTTTTAAGTTAGGAAAAAAATATCATCAGCCATTGCATCTGGTCCTTCAAGAAAAATGATACCTCAGTGTAAATGAGATCAGTCTAGGGCCTCTGTATTCCTTAGGTGCACCAACTCTATTTGAGTCTATTTACTGTATATTTTACATGTGAGTATCTACCTGGAATGACAATCCATTACTTTTACAGACTCTTTTATGCACAGCCTTGCTGTTCAGGAAAAGTATACCTAGGGAATACAAGCACCATTCCTGGGTAGGGATGCTTTCCTGAATTTGAAGAATTTGTTACTGCATAAACCCAGTGCCACAATACTGTACCTGCCAAGGAGCCAGAAAGCACAGAGGAAACTGTGCACTGGAAGATCTGATTAAACGTATAAAAGATGCTTCTGGACAGTCTCTTTTTGCTATTTGCTTTGTTCAAGGCCACCTCTAAAGACACATTTGAGTCCCTAATGAACCATGATGACTTCTAGATGGACAAAATCAGGATTTCAGTAATAACGGGAAAAAGAAAACTTGTAAAATTCCAGACGATTCTAGTCCCATCTATTTTGAGTCTCTTTCTTTAATTTTACTGATTTTAAACATAGTGAATTTTTTAGTTCCATGCCAGGAGTATTATGAATAGTTTTAAACAACAGGCATATAAATGAGGACTGCAAGGAAATTTTCTTACCTCACAAAACATAGGCAACTTTTTGGCAAAATCCACCACTCTTGTTATCGCTGGTGTGATAATTTTTGTAAACTGGCTGAAGGCTTCTAAATCCACTTTCCCACCTTCTGGGGCATTAACTATTGGTGCCTGTCCAATGTCTTCTGGCTAAGGATACAAAGAAAGATATTTAAAGGAACAATCTATCTTAGAGCAAGAATTTTATACTCTAAAAAGTCCTGCTTGGCGATGGAAGATATGCTAAAATAAAAAATAACACTATTCACTTTATAAGTAATGCCCATTAAGCCACGAAAGGTGAATTTGCTTGTAAGGCATTTGTGAAAGAGGTGACTGCACAGAGAAATGGGTGACTGGCATGCCGCTACCCATCCTGTGTGGGCAGCTGCATTTTTGTGCACATGCGGTTTCTCCCTTGTCCCTGTATCTGAGCATTTTGTGGGTGTAGCTTATGAATTTTTTTTTGCTTAAAAATATAGGCACGTTCTTGTTTCCTACAGGTTCTGAGAAGTCTCAAGTTTCTCTAAAAGTGAAAGGAGCTGAGGTGACTTGTTGCCCCTGAGAAGATGCTCAGAGCTTTGCAGAATTGTGCTCTTTCACCTAGGCAAAGTTCTGAAATCCTCTCCAGAACAGATTGCCTGGTATCACAGAGTTCCAGGCAACTGGCAAGGCCTGTTTCCAAAACCAGGCTAAAACAACTGATGACTAAGAATGGGCTAACACAAAGCTAGTCTGGATGAAGTGACTAGAATTTGAACTCATCTGGGTAAGATTTTGGTTGAAAATCACCTTCTGCATGACTTCAGCCCAAGGCTTCTCCAAAAGAGAAAACAACACACATATTTTGAGGATTTCAATAGGGATATAGAATTAAATAGATTCAAGCAGAATCTGCAATGAATGTCTTTTTATTCCAACTGCACTGCAACTTGTTCACCTGATTTTATGAGAGCTCATCAATGTTACCTTGTATTTTAAAACCAGACATAGCGGAGCTGTTCTGTTCACTAAGTGTGGCCTTGTGGAGGTAAAAAACCTGCCAACTAGAGGTTCCATTTTGTTCACATTTGAGAATCAGAAACTGGATAAAACCCAGAGAAGGCGGCCTTTAAGACTGATGGACTTAATGACATTTAGATAAGGGCACTTAAACAGGGGAGGTGCTGAAAGTGCTGTCTATAATAAAAACTTGTGCTTGGCAGTTTTTTAAAGCAACGTATCATAAAAGATCCTTCCACAGCTCTGTCGCCAATCTGAATCGAAATCCAACTTCTTTCAAGAAAAAACTCAGCAATGCGTTAATAAAGCAGGCACCAATTGTAAAGGAACAATGAAGAGGACTGGACTCAATTATCTGATGGTTCCTACAAAAAACTCAAATAATCCCAGTTCTAGGCTCCCTCCTCCCTGAAATCTTGGGAAACTAAACCACATTGTCTGTGTGCTCATGATAAACGACCTTCATCATTTCCAAGCAAGAAGACCAAATGCTTAAAATGATGCATTACACTGTTAGGGAGAGAGAATGCAATATTTTCTCGGGAAAGCCAAAAGAAGTCAGGATCACTAGCTAAAGCTAACACACTCCACCAGGGCATGCAACTGGAGAGCCCTTGCCACCTAGCTCACCTCAATAGGGAATGATGTCTAGACCTCAAAGGAGCTCCAGCTGTTGAAGAACCAGCCTCAGCTGCCTAAGGACCAACACCCAGCTCCTGAGGTGCGCGGTCAGTTCCTCTTGCTCCTCCATAGCTTGTGGCAGGGACTTTCAAAGCCCTCCACCTGGGGCTTGCAGGCCATCCTGGACTTTCCCTTCTGTGCTCATCGCAAGGTGTCAGTGAGCTCCCCACGCTTGACTTGAAACCACTGGGCTTCAGCATGTGAGCACTGCAAAGAACCAGGAGGCCCTGCAGCAAGGGCTGCACTGAGTGCTCTTGGTCTGGCCTAGGAACCAGCTGTGGAAGTCACAGTTGGTTTCTGAATTGCCCATTACAGCTGCCACCCCTGCCTCTGCCCCATCCATCCCCTCTCCCATTAGCCCCGTCATTACATCACCTCATGCCCTGTCTTTGGGCACCCTTTGCTGGAGGTTCCCCCTCTGCTGTGACTGTCTCAGAGCCTGAAGCCCCTCAAAGACCACGTTTTACGTGGCCCAGCGTACCCATTCCCAGCCCCAACCTCAAGCTCCCCATGCTTTATCCCAAACCAGGTGATACCCAAAGAACAGCAGTCCTGTCTAAGCAACCAAACGCACTATCACAGCTGCTTCCTGGTCTGCTAAAACCAGCGCCGCAAACCTTGCTGCGCGGCACCACTGGGAAGTGCTCTGTTGCTTCTTGCCAGCGATCACTGGCTGTGGTTTCCTGACCGCACGCTACTACGAACATTCATACAGAAATTTAGACAGCGCCACTGGAATTAACAAAACACTATAAAAGGGATCAGCTGGTTTGAATATATAATTTCTCTTAGCAATTTAACAGTGGGTCGAGATTCCCATGGTGAAATAGGCAGCAGGAGCCTAGGCCTGCAAATAATGAGTATTCTCTATCTGATTTGGTATACACAGACTGTTAAAGACCCCTGTGTATTCCTGAAATGCAGTCTATAATCCCTCTTTTGTGCTGTATAAGCATTTTGCATTCTGCACTTATTTCCTTAAAAATCGATTTAGAAAAATCAAATCCTTTTCTAAGGCTGAGCATCACAAATCACCATTTATTTTCTGATGCTTAGTTATAGGCTGAAAACTTAAGTCGTCTTGTAGTCTGCAATCCTGATGCTATAGTGTCTGTATCATTCTGGTTTCATTGAAATTCATTTTTCTTTGCCAAATTTATTTTAATTTATGTGTTTGCTTTGGAACGAGGAAGCAAAAAACACGAGTTATTAATAAAAAATACCAGCTTTAGCCTAAAACTTTACATTGTTTTAACACTTACAATATGTCGCATGCTAGTTCCTAATAAAGACAACTATCCCTAGATATAATATATAAAAAAAAGATATCGTATGCATTATAGACTGCTATTATTGTTTAATCAGGAGTGAAACAATTTTTCTACTTTTTCTTATCATAGCACATTACAAGTATCCAGCTGGGTAAGCCTTAACTTAGCAACACGCTGTTTATCTTTTGTAATACATGGTCTGATCAAACACTGAGCTTCAGGCAAGAATAAGCAAGTAGTAACTATAAAAACTGTTTTTCATAAATGTCAATACGGTGGCAGACAGACTGTCTTTGGGGTTCCAGTGCTGGGAAGGGACTTCAGAAGACTGAAAGGGATCTGGCTCCAAGAGCAGTGTAAAAGGAACAGTCCTCACCAGAAATTTCCTTTTCTGCTTCCAGTGGCTTCCTTGTGCATTAGTGGCCACATGTGCTTCAGTAACAATTTTGATGAGCTCCCACTCCTCATCCGTGGGTTCTGGTTTGTGCCCAATGGTTTTCTGCAGCTCTTCCCGACGTCTCTTCTCTCGATTTTCTTCTATCAGCTTCCTCTTTGCCAACCGTTTGCTGTCATCCAACACCACTAGCAGGGGAAAAAGCATAAAAAATGGCAGGAAGCTCTTAAGGCTGCCTGAACTTCGGTCTTTTCTATGCCTGAGTTACTAATTGGTTACAAATACCTTTGCTAATCAGTAAAGAGGTACTTTGGTAAGACCCACAGTTGACACAGTTCTCTTCATTCTCCTTCCAAACTTCATTTTCTCAGAAGCCTGGACTGCAAAGAACGACTTACCCTTCCGGTAACATTTCGTATACTGCCATTGTCTTCAGTGGCTTATTCCACCAGTAACGCTAATATGTAAAAGCTTTGTGAGGACTCAACGTGCTCCTATATTGGACTTGGAGTAATCCACGTTGGGAAAGAGGCACTTTTGTGCCTACTATTGGGCCTGTTTTCCTGTCCGTTCTTCTGCAGAGGATTACGCCAGCAACAACCATTAACATTAATGCTCAGCGGGATTTACGTGACTTCCTCCCATTTGCACTAAATCAAGTTATCGGTGTAAATCCCCATGCAATGGCAGGAAAAGACGACCCCAAAGGGTTAATCTTACAGCCATATTTTCTAGTTCTTTAGTATGAGAGTCGAATTCTTTGCGGTAGATAACTTCTTCAAGGCTAAAAATAAAACAAACAACTGCAGGATGACTCATACAACGACATTCAATTTCACATCCTCCAGAATTTTCTAAACAAGATGTTTTTTTCTCAAGCAAAGTGTCCATCCAGCTGCATTTCTCCCTGCTCTCCTCTAAAAAGTGAACATTCCTACTGTTACTCAGCCTGGTAAGGCCAGGAGAAGGTGCAGTCTGGTGAGGGATAAACATAAAATTACAGCCCTGTGAAAGCGGTTTGATGCAATGAGCATAATTCCCCGGTACAAGTTATTAAAAAACAAAAAAGTGCTGGCAGCTCTGCTCTACTTTGACAATCTGGACGAATCAATATATTATAAGTAAACACACACATTAAAAAAAAAAAAAAGAGAAAAGGGAAGAAAGAAAACCAGAAAAATATACTTACAATCTGTTGCCATGCCAACAAAGATACATTTTTTGAAGCGACATTCCTGGCACTGATTTCTTGTTACTTTGTCTATCACACATTTTCCTTCATATTTACAGGAATAGGTTGGATGGAGGTTTTTCTGAATGGTTCTTCTAAAAAAACCCTAAGTGCAATAAATAAATACATTGCAAAGCATTAGCGTTGTGCAATTTTTTTCAAATTGGGAGCCACTCTGGTTTGATAGAAATGTACCTAAGTAGGCAAGATAACATACTTCATTCTATGAGACTCTCAAAGAGGAAAAGAACAAACCAGTTTTATAGTGCATGGCATTTATTTTCTGACTTTCATGAAATATTTGCTCCCTAAAAATTAAAAATATATAGACATCTTAGGTAAGTCAAGGCATAAGTAATGCTGTCTTGAGGGACAAATAAGTGTCTACATGTCTTCTTGAAGTCTTATGTTTCTGTGTGTTAAATTTTTTGTATTATTTGAACTACAGAGTTTATTTTGAGCCCCTTTCTAAATTACATAATAATTTTGAGGGATATTAAGAGGCAGAAACACACTTTTAATTAAATAGCAGCTTCTGCAAATAGTAAGAATGGTGGTGTGTATGCGCTACTAAAGGATTAAGAACAAACAGTTCTACTCCTTTCTTCCCATCAAAGCCAAATAACCAACCACCCAAATCCGAGTAAGACTAAGAATTTTGCAAACACAATTTACACAATCTTTGCATTTGGTTCTAAATAATGGAGTTTGGTTCTAAATAATGGATCCATAATTTTAAAATTACCTGTATTTCTGAGAAAAGAATTTCATTTGTATTTACCACACACCTCTGCATTCAAAACAAACATCACCAGTAAAGATCCCTCCAGATTTAAATCCATTCTATCTATCTATCTACCTACCTACCTATCATGATACAGATCTCTATTGCCAATTGCAACACGGGTATGAGGTCAGATACTAAGTTCATGTGAACTAATGTAGCTCCGCTGAATTCTCTGATTTATACACCCCATAGACTCTGGCCTTAGATAAAGAAATCAGATACAACTTATCTCTGAACATTATGGACCTAATCCTGGTACTAATTTCAACATGACTTTTCTCACTGACTTCTGCAAGAGCTGGATAAACTTCCAAAGACCACAAGATATGGACAAGACAGGCTGTAAAGCAAGAAATTTAGACTTCACTTTAATGTCAAGTTTCACCGTTGTTTGAGACCGTCTACATTCAGCAATGCAGCTTGGGACCACCTCGACATAGAGAAAACACTGGGACCCTGGTCCTGTTTGACTGAGGCCATTGAGAATGGCTTTGGTTTCAGTGAAAACAATGGCAAAATTCAGGTGAGATTTTACCTAATGAATAGCCTCTTCAGCTGGGATTTTATCTAATGAATAGTCTCTTCACCAGGCGAAAGGTCTGTTTTTAATCCTGTTAAATAATATCCGGTAAAATCTTATAGCAGTGTGTAATTTCTTTTAACACAGAATGTAGAATTAAGACGTAGAGATAAGTCTGTGTTTCAGCTTGAGCTCCTTACTCCAGTAAAGACAATAAAAAGCCTTGTCCTCATTAGAGTTTTATCTTACAAGATCCAGCTCAAGCTAAGAGTAGAACTCTTTGTTCCTTAATAACGATGATACCTGAAATTTCAATTAAACGGAGTTGCATAAAGCATGTGTGAGCCTTTGCAAGACTGGGACCTGTTGGGTTGAGCCAAAATACAGTAAATCAAAGGCAAGATGTCCTCATGTGGGGTTTGGATCAGGTCTCAAACTCTCATCTACCCAACAGCCAGATTTGGATCCACTCAACCCTGTGACGAATTCCTAGAGATGCGACCTGTCCCTCTCCTCCCTGAAGATCAAAGATGGCTCTGGACAACTGGGGACATGGGGTAATCTCTAGTTACAGCAAGAGATGGAAACATCTTTGACGAATCTCACGACGTGGTACTGAACTTCTGTTTTCCAAACCTTGCACGGGACTTAACGTAGCTCTAGCTTTATAATGGCAAGGCTCTTCACCATCCGTGTTGGGACCAGCACATTTCATCTTCCTAACTGCTTTGCATTTCTCAGAAACTTTTTGTATCATCATCTCTAGATACAATGTGATAAGGAAGCTGCTCTCTACATTCATCCCAACACTTCACCACAGAAGTGTTACTTTCATCAATAAAAGAAAGCACATTTTACTGTAAGGCAACTACTCTTTTCCTAAATTCCTTTACTATGCACCTATATAGCAACAGATGCAACGGGTACAGTCCGGAGAAACATTCTGGTGATGTCAGAACTCACTATTGGTTTCTTTCTGTTTAAATTCCTTACAATTTACTTTTCAGAAATCATATGTGAGGATGCTTTGTTCAAGAAAGCACTTGCCAAAGCAAATTTTTGGCTGTCAGCCCTGATTAATGTTGTTACAAAATTGAAGTTATTTTGAGCGGAAGCAACTAGTAAATGTCAAATTCATTGAGAATTGATTACATATAACTTTGCTGATAAATCATACAACTTGAAGTGTGTATGCAGATCCTCCAAAGCATGGGTTTAAATTGTCCATCACCAAAAAAACCATCTTGTACAATGAACACATTTGCAAGAAAAACACATCAAAACAAAACAGTCTGTAAGCCAACTATAAGTAGGAGAAAGAAATTAACTACTTTTGGAAAATTGTTAGCTCAGTTCCTTGTGCACATAATTTTAAATTGTACATCAGACAGAAGAACTGTATCTGAAGATAAAAGTAGATTTTGTATGCTATATCTTTAAAATAGCTGGTAGGCATAAAAAGAAACACTTCAGTTGCAATAACAAAAACCTGAGTAGGAAAGCTGGTGAGAGATATAGCTGTTCAGCTGGGAGCAAAAGATATTTCATAATGCCACAGTGTCGCTTACTTCTCATTATTTCTGAATTAAGTCATATTCATACATTTTACGTATTGTTATCATCTGGTATATGGGATGCAAATGTGTAAGAATCACTTGTTCAGTTCCACAGGTTTTTCTTCAGATATAAATGTTTTTTCATACATATTATGTATAAAACCATTATGAATATTACCACAAATCTGCTATACATAGAATGTTTAGGTCTTTGTGCATTTCATAAATGTAACTTAGGGCAATGCTGTACAGCTGAAGGAACTACTTCAACACAAGAGTTACTGTGATGTGGGGGGCTCTAAAGCCAATCCAAACCCAAAATCTCAGATCCAAATATTCCAGACTTTGGGGATGAACAGAATACAACTTTTGTGGCTTAGTCCCATGACACTAGTCCATGATATGTGTGGTCCCATTTGTTTAGAAAAACAACCATTTTTTTTATTTTTTGGAGGAAAGAATAGCTTTCTTACAGGATCTCAAGCTATTCAGGCAAATTTATGACAGTGAAATCATGTAAGATGTGCACAATTGTGTTACTCATTTTTTTATTTACTTGCCCAAAGCAACCTCTTTTTTAATTCTGCTTGCAGCTTTGGAGATGCAATTTAGGGCTGAAAGCACATTTCAATATGCTTAAGTTAAAGAAGTCAAAATTGTTTTGAAACGGTTTTAACTGGGTGTCAATGCTTCCCAAAGTGACGGACGTTACTGTTGTATGAGCATGTGGAAGGGATTTTGATTTTTGCTTCTTCACAGTGACGATGAGAGGCACTGGAACACTGTTAATCGCTACAGACTCTTCATGGCCATAGGCAGAACCTCAGCTATTGCATAAACAGCCTCACTGGAGTTGCTGGGAGCACGCTGATGTACGTTGGCTGAGAATGTGGCCAAAGAAACATTAAAAAATGGAAATGTAGAAGCTGACAGTTAAACAGCAACAACAAAAATCTAAATTTCTCATTTTCTTTTCAGAAGCAAACACTGCAAAAATCAACTATATTCCTTATGCATATGAAGAGCAGCGGCATAGCCAGCTACGGCTTATCGTCAGTACTGGATGTTCTTATTCGCTTCTAATCTGTCTTTGTTTTATTTGACAGCGCAGTTCAGGAAGTCTGTATAATGGAGGAGCTGGAGAGCTATTTCTGATTCCCACTTTCCCACCGTGCCATTTACCTTGCAACCTTCGCAAGTGATGCAGCGATAATGATATCCGGTGGCTTTGTCCCCACATACTACACATAGCTCATCCTTGTCTAAGTAACTGGGTATATACCCTGTAAAGAAAAAGAGGATGTGGCATGTAAACTTGATTTAAAATGATACATTTGATATAAAAATATTATTTTAAAATCCACTGCAGATCTTGTCTACTAGTCCCATAGTTCTGAACTCACTGAATTTCCTGAATAAAAAGCTCATACTATGTTACAGGCATATTTAAACAGCCTATAATATCTTCTACTTTTCAGACTCTTTCAGCATCTACTGGTCAAGAGGGAAAAGTCAGAACGTGATTTCTCTCTCCTGAGTGAAATGCCACCTCAGAAAAATAATTATAATTATTTTTACTTCAAAAGCTTTGATGTGAAAAAATAAAATATCAGTGAGACATACAATATATTTCTCTTTTCTGTTTCACAACAAACCCGATATACTTGTATACTGAAGATGAGATCCCAGGTTGCAGGGTGACTCAGGGACCTGGTAGCAAGAAATATTTACTGAGAGACTGTTTGTTTCAAAACAGCCCCACAGGCGTGGTTAGAGAAGTACCAGCAACAGACAGCCCGAGCTGTATTGATCGTATCTGACCCAGGTGTGTTCTGCAGGAACATTTAACACAGCCTGAATTTGGGGCAAAATACGTGGGCATTCAAATATATATGTGTGTGTGTGTGTGTACATGCATGTGTTAGAATGACATTTTCTCTACTCAAGTGGTTTACCAGACACCCAACAAACGAAATCAAATATTACTGCTATAAAAAACATTGGCAATGCTTGGTTCTTTTCCCACAATGACATTTGTTTTGATAACATAAACATATTTTCAATTTGAGGAAAAAAACCCAAAACAATTCTGACGGCAACCAAGAACTGATTCTAAAGTAAAGAGAACTTTGAAACAGGGTAAAATACAAACCTTTCAAAATAAGTGTTCCCATGACTCATAATTAATGGAGTTACGGTACATAACTTTTCCTTGTGAAAAATCTCTCTGTAAAGATGTAACACAGAGAGCTCAGATTCACTTTGAGAGGCGAGAGGAAAGTGCAGCTATTTGTGTAACAACATAAGATTATTAAAGTGTAGTAAATATTTCACAGAATCCCAGAACGGCTGAGGTTGGAAGGCATCTCTGGAGGGCATCTGGTCCAACTTCCCTGGTCAAGCAGGTCCACCTACAGCCAGTTGCCCAGGACCATGTCCAAATGGCTTTTGAGTATCTCCAAGGATGGAAACTCCACCACCTTTGTGGGCAACAACCTGTGTCTGTGCTTGGTCATAGTGAAAAGACTATTTTATTCCTTGTACTTCTATTTGTGCCCATTGCCTGTTGTCCTGTTAGTGGGCACCACTAAGAAGAGTCTGGCTGTGTCTTCTACCTGATGGAGGATCAGGTATTTCTACACATTTGATAAGATCCCCCCTTTGAGCCTTCTCTGCTCCAGGCTGAACAGTCCTACCTCTCTCAGTCTCTCCTCACAGAATAGATGCGCCAGTCTCTTCATCATCTTTGTGGCCCTTTTCTGGACTTGCTCCAGTATGTCCACGTCTTTCTTGTATTGGGGAGCCCAGAACTGAACCCAGCACTGCAGGTGTTTCACCAGAGCTGAGCAGAGGGGAAGGATGACCTCCCTCAACCTGCTGGTGATGATCTTCCTAATGCAGACCAAGATGCCATTGACCTTCCTTGCCTCAAGGACACGCTGATGGCTCCTGTTCAACTTGCTGCCCACCAGGAACCCCCAAGAACTTCAATGCAAAGCGCTTTCCAGCTGGTTGGGACTCAACCTGTATTGCTGCATTTATTACTCCTCCCTCAGTGCAGGACTGGGAAATTTGGCATTTCCCTTTGATGAACTTCAAGCGATTCCTCTCATCCCATTTCTCCAGCCTGCCTACGTCGCCCTAAACGGCAGCACACCCATCTGGTGTACCAGCCACTCCTCCCAGTTCTGCATCATCTGCCAACTGACTGAGTGCAATTTATGAGTGCAATGAAGAAGAGTCCTTTGGAAGTGGCTGCCTGCAACATTATCCCTTGCCACTGGCTTGCAGGACCCATCTGTAGCACTACACATTAGACTAGACTCCAGGCTTGCTGACTTCATGCAGCCCTCACACCAGTACAGCTCGGTACAGCTCAGGGACTTGGCACACCGCAGTCACATGGAGGGCAACCAGCAACAAGACTCAGGGCAGCAGAAGGCTGTTGGAGGATGCTGCAAGAGGGGTGGCCGTCATCTTCCTGTGACTAACCAGCCAGAGGGTCAGCTCAATGACAGACAGCTTCAATGAAAGTGAAAAGCTACACTTGCCAGAGGTTCTCCAGAAAGAAAAGCCCAAATCAGAAAGAAATTACTTGAAATTAACTGAGCTTAAACTACTTGAACTTTCTGGGGGCTGCTGAGTGGATTAGGAGAAAGTAAAGAAGGAAGAAGGTAGGAAGTATTTGTACTTCATATGTTTAGTTTGAGCATAATTATGAGAACCTCGAATTATAGAGGAACATACATCCCTCTCCTGTACTGCTGGGAAGCAGGAGCACTCTGAAGCCGTGCCTGGGTACCTGCATCTCAGGTTTGCCAATACTCTTACTGGCGTCTGAAAGAGGAGCTGGGGAATGAGCTGAGATCTTACTGATGTATCATACCAGTCTATAATACAGCAAAAGATCAGATTTACATTCAGGTTACGTTTCTCCACGATGAGCAAGTTGTGCTTGGATAAAGACTGGTGGGCACGTGGAGCTGGTTCTGTGACCTTGAGGGAAGAGAGACAGCAGGGTTTCGACTCTAATTTACATCACTGACTCCTAATGGACATTATGCCAGTGGGGGATTAGCGGAGGCTATTATCTCCATCCTGTCCCCATTTTGCTCACACCTGCCTCTGCACATGCGACACATACGCAACACGGAGCTGATACAGGAGACAGCAGAGCCAGCGAAGGGATGCAGAATGTTCCACTAAATTTCTCATGAACATTAACACCTCCTTGTTATCGCTGGTTACCACTATTCATGAAAAGCAGAGTTAGCATAGCATAGACTGTGTCCTCTAAAATTCAGTATCCCTGGTTTTCTTCCTCAAGAGTTACTTCTGAATTAAATGCCTTGATATTTCATTAAGTATATAATCTGGTTAGCACTGCTCATGTAATGGCAACTTTGTTCTATTGGAGGAGCAGGAGATCATTTGTCTAAACCGCTTCCTTAAAAATATACAGTAGCTTGCACACATGACCACTGGTGTCCATCTCCTTCCTGGAGTTTCATGACTTTATCCAACCCAGGAAACAGTTTCCAATCTGGCTGAAAAGATAAATCTCCTACAGGTGCTCCTAGCCAGAAATTAAAACCGGCATCCTTACATCCAGTCACATTCCCAATTCTGCTGCATTCAAAGTGTTAAGTGCCAGCTATTTAAGCTACTTCAACGTTAAATATTATGTTCATTACTTTTCCAGGATTGTGCCCATGTCACAAGGTAAGCACATGCTGTGAGCTCTTCTACTGCTTCAACAGGAAATACGGATAGAAAACTTGTATCCCAAGAAATCACTGGCAATAAAAGTGTGCAATAAATATCTTTTTTCTTTCTACTACAAATCTGAGAGTGATAGCTGCACTTTTGTGTATTTTTAACACTCCTTCCAACAGCCAATGAGGTCAGAAAGTAAGAAAATTGGACCTTCAGCAGTGTTTTAAAAAGATATAATTCAGACAAACAGGCATCATGCCAAGAAGAATAAGGGGACCTACATTCAGTTCTTACAAACCATAATGGCCACTGTAAATAATTTCTAGAAGCTGCAACTACCCAGTGTGACCTCTGTATAAATTCAATGCAATTTCATTTATAAGCCGTGCAGATAAGCAGCCTCAGTGCATTTGCGCTGCTACTCAGAGTTAGCAATAGTATCAGCAGGAGGAAATTCAACGTTTTTCTAAACTTGGTACCAGCATGGAAGCTATGAATAGTGCAATGGAGATTTTTGGGGAAGTCGTGGATGGCAGCAGAGTTGTGTGTTGGACGGTTCAAGGAAGAAGCAGAGCATCAGACTTCTCTCACTCCTTGCAGCACTTGGGGAAAAGAGAGGAGCGGCAGACTAACAGGGACTTGCTTCTCTCACATTAGCAAGTACTTTGGCATCTTATGCGTTTAATAACTCTGAACCAAAAATCAAAACTCCTATGCGGAAGAAGCAGATGCTGTTGGGACAGAATAATGCAGGTGCCTTCTTGTGAGAGAAGAACGATGACAAATCTCATGGGAACATTGGGTAGGTTCCCATTTTTGGTGTTCATATTTCATCCCGTATTTCTTCGTCAAAACCTGCTAAGTAAATAGCTAAGAGGAACCGTTCAAAAGCAACGCCAATCTCACTGAACTGTACAATAATAACCAACATCATTCCTGGGTCTTTCAGGCCTCTGTCTGCTGTAGCATCCTCATGAACTATCATTTGCTGCATCCCGTACGATCCGCAAAGTTAACTATCTGTCAAGTCTGACAGTTCATTCCAATATCCACCATGGATCTTTGCTCTGAGTGGAGAACACCAACGAATGACCTTGACCTGCCACGTCTGGTGTTTCCCCTGCAGCCTAAAGTAACTCCTTTGCTCCCCAGACTCCCACCTGCCCATCCGCCTAATCTTACTGTCTTGGCAAGGCTAAGTACTCAGCAGGACCAGTTGACCTTATCTAGAAGAATATGTTGTATAATCCATTATAACCAATCTTGATGGCGGTTTACAATATCTTTTAAACCACAACTGTAGCTTGTAACACCCTTCGTAGAGGTATGGCAAAAAACAATTCCCTTCGACAGGAAAATACGCAATGAGTTTGCCCCAGCAGTCGTAAGGACAGAACGAGATCTGCTAACCTATGCAGTCATCTGAGGTACTCTGTTTTATTAATACTGTATGCCTACACTCTCAAATTACCATTTGCAGGAATGATACCTCAAAGCAGCGTATGTGACCCTGCACAGTGTAACAGATTGGAGAGACACAAGACACTCGGTGGCTATTCCTGCCCTG